AACTCGTAAATGTTGATGTAACAAGAAACTGCGAAGAGGTAAAAATATCGCACGTAACAATACATAATTATATTCGCGGTCGTATTGTCCGCATCCACCGCGAATTTGTCGGGCAATTCAGACCGATGTTTTTGAATGGACCGGTAAGGGAATCTCTAACCGAATGGCATTGTATCACATGAGAATGTGAAAATGACTGCTGAGCGTTTGTTACACGATGCGGGTTCGACGAGGCCGCGCGGAATCTCGGTTCGGTTTTTGTAGAAGGTTCTTAGGTGGAGTCTGATGAATGACTACGAACAACGCAAAATTTGGTCCGTCAAATTTGCACGAGAAGCCTAGAAAGTCAGAAAATGTCACAGCATGGAAAAAGGACCACAAGAAAGAAACATTGATACATGTGAAGATGATGAGGGTAGTGACAAAAACCATGACGATGATCTTAAGGAACAAGCAATAAGTCTTGTCATTCTCACCAAAAAGGCAATTTTCTAGTCAATAAGACATTTTGTAATTTTATTTTGACTAACTAGTAAGAATTAGTTGAAAAAGTTAAAAATTCTCAAGCCTCTTCAAAATTAGGATATTGTCTTATATTCAGGTAAATACGATACAGAAAGTTAAACTGTTATAATATGTCTTAAATATTATTTTTCAAAAAACTCTATTCTGAATGTTCAGTTTTCATGTGAATATACCAATTTTTTTTTATTTATTTTTTTTTTTTACCCACAGCCAAAGATACAGTAATAACTCAAACCTTGTGATAAATTGTATCATATATTGAACAAAAAGCACATGAAAAATAATATCAAGGATTTTTTGTTTCCATAAAAAATAAAAACCTATAAAACATGAACAAATAATCATTGCTGGGCCACTGAAGCTACCCCCCACCATCCTTGGTAATGCTCAGGTTAACAAAGAGAAAATGATCAACAATGGAAAGTCCTAATCTATAATCATCTCCCTCCTACCATTCAGCCTGGAACATCTTTGTGAATTATTTAATCACCATCCACAACATTCAGTGAATTCTAAAGAATGCTCTACCAGGAGTTACTGCCTAGCAGTAAAGGGCAATGAACAGTTTCTGAAGTTATTGTTTAACTATTTTGAGGATATCTTGCTTAGTTGTATTTACCTTAAATTTCATTAAATTTCTTAACTTCGAGAACTGTATGAAGTGTTTAGGAATTAGTTGATTCTCTGACTTTTCTCTATTATTTTTAAAAGAAAACAAAGAACGTTACAGTAATTCCTTATTCTAGGATACTAAGTATTTCAAAATGACTGTTCTATAAAATTTTTATCCATTCATCTGCAGTACACAAAATAATTGAACTTCTTGGAAACAATTGTACGAGTCTCCATGTAACAAAAATCACAGCAGACTATATAGCAAACAACCTAAATAAGCAAAATTTTCTTTACACCACACAACACTAATACCTTGACATGAGCTTGCATTTATCCACTTTTATCACTTTCCAAAATGGTGCAGGCACTTTGCCTAACATCCAGTCTCTTCTTACATATTTCATGATCATGGCATATGTCAATCACAGCATCACGAAATAAAAGAAAACAGGTGATAGTTACCAAATAAAACATTCAAACTTCAAGGTCAGATGTCCACATTTCACACATAAATAGTTCTATATTACCTGTACTAAAACTTGTATTAATCCTTAATACAAATATAAAATTTCAAAATTCCAAAACAATATGCAATGTAAATGCTGTCTCAATGTTCATCAGAACTTCTACAATAATTAACAAGGTTAATTGCTCACACAATGAATCCAGGGTGAACTGAATATGAGAGGTTTCTGCAATTCTTTTAAAAATAAGATAAAAGAAAAGAAAGTTGGAAAAACATAGAAAGAATGAAAGAGGAAAATGACAGTTGAAAGAAATGAAGAGCAAACATAAAACTTCTTTTAGGTTTCATCCAGTGTCATTTGCAATTTGTATTTGATATCCTTCACATTAAGTTAATTTAATTTTCCAAGGACTAATTTTTTTCTCCTATAACTGAGTGTAAAATGTTAACAGTTTTAATATTAATTATTCATGTGAATATCTCAGTGCAAATTGATGTCCTTAATATCAAGGTTATTGAAAAATCTAAGCAATGTACAGAAAATATGCACCAGAATCAGTCGTCATACTAATTATTTTAAAATTCCAATGCTTTCAAATAACTGTTTTATATTGAACATAAAAATTAAATATATTATATAAAATAAAAAAATCAATTTTCAAATATTAGTTAGAGAATCATTCCAAGATTGAGAAATTAATTAAAATACAAAGATGTTCCTATAAACGTTAATTTGATTTGAAAGTACACTTTAAAGCAACACAATTTCAAATCCTTTTAGCAGCTTAAACATTGATCGGTTTAGCACCCAATAATATAGCATACAAGTTCTTTTGTTTATCATAAACCTTGAATACAATTTGTAGTATAAAGAAGAAAAAATTTTGAAAATTTCAACAGAGGTTTATTTATTTTCTCAAGAACAGAAAAACTATGTGATGTACTATGGGGAGAAGTGTATTCTACGCACATTTTCATAAATTCAGGGATCCCTACTCTAACCTATATACTAATTGAATATAGGTGGTAATGAGCATTTTTGGCAAGGATTGAGTAGAAAATATTTCTTTTGGTGCAATAAAAACTATTTACAAAGGCAAATCAGGTAGCGAGTATCATCCTTTACTGTGCCCTTCGTGATGCAATCAACGTACCGCCGCTTATAATACGTGCTTCAGATATATAGCATTTCAGAATTACACAGTTAAATGGTAACTAATGTATTAATTATCATTGATAATATAAATATTACTTTCCTTTTTTATTCTCGGTATAATCTGTAATTGAATGGGTGCAATAGAGAATATTTTGTGTTCCATTCGTTTAAAGGAATGTTCTATTTGAGATTAGACTGAATTGAAAGACTGTCAAAATTTTGTTACCTTAACATCAGTCAATTGCTTATGGTTTATTTTCAACGGAGTATACAATTGTTTATTTGAAATTTAAAACTGCATTGAAACTGTTTTCCCTTTATTTACTATTAAGGAGCCAATTTCAAACAACTAATAATGTACAACTTACAGTTTCTATCTTGCAAAGAAAACGAGTATCATCAGCAAAAAGAACTGTTCTGTTTCAATTTGATCAAGACTTATCCTTTACTATAGGTGGAAGAGAAAAGAGCTTAAAATTGAATTTTTTTAAAAATAACAATACCATAGAATTATTTTTAATACTTTGTGATAGGGTCTGTTTACCTTTATAAATATTAATGGAGTTTTATTAATCTCTTAGCAGCATTTTGGCCAAAATGGATTGGAATCCAGCCAAAATGCTGCTGAGAGATTGTAACAATCCATAATTCTTCAGGCAAAGAAAAAGCTTGGCTCAGAGGAACTGTAGCAATCACAAAACATGGAAGGGCTTCATGAAATTCCTCCATAGATTACAACTGTTAAAAATTGGTCCACACTAATACCTTTCTGGAACCCAAAAGAGAGAGAGGGGACACATTGCAATTTAATTGAAGGAAATTATTATGTATTTAAGGACTATATTACTATTATTTTCTGCACATTTGTATTACAAATTTTATAGATTTTTAGATACCGCAAGGGTATATAAATTTTCACAATTAATGTTCATTCCATGCAACTTTTTAATATGTTATTGGAATATACAACTTTTCTACATTGATAGATACAAAAAGAAAATTGAAAAGTGTTGGCAGTAAAAGTGCAAGGTCTGGCTGTAAGACAACGGCAGTTACCATGAAAGCAATAATGCCTGGTAATGGTTCTGAATTGTCTTGTAAATGTCTGATAAGCGTTTAAAGACTGAACTATTCCTTAGGGGTGAGAAAGTTTCTATTAATAAAAAGATTTAAAAGATGAAACAGTGACTCATTACCTAAAGAATGATATAAGGATAAAAACTTTGCTGGAACCCATCGTAGACCTATCCCTACCCCCCTTGATCAAGAGTAATAGGTGTTAATCTACACTTCTTACTTTGCAAATGAGTTTCAAAAATGAACGATAATTCAATAACAAATCAAAAGGAACACAGCAAGCATGAAAGTATTTTAAACTTCTCCCCACAGAAATTATAAAATATCTATTATTAATATATGACTAATTACTAAAAGTATGATTAATGAAGCACAGTGTATATTTTCCAGAAAAACATCCTCCCTCATTGTCACTGTCTGAGAAAATAGTTAAACTTCATACTTCGATCAGTTTTTATTTTACTTTCTGAAATACATAAAACAAGTTTTAAAATTGTGCTAAACATCAATCCTAGCATTTTCAGATTTGCAAGCCTTCTATAGAAAAATGTTTTGACTTTATCAGAAACTTATAGGGTTTTTATGCCTTTCATGAAGGGCACAAAGAAGAGAAAAAAAGTAAAGTGAGCGAGTAAAAACTTGTTAATGAGAGTTAGGAAATGAGACAGCAGAAATGAAAAAAAAAAGGTATTGTCACTTAAACTAAGTTATGCCAAGCAAATTTATCTTTTACTGCATTGTGTGACAAAAGACCTGAAGCCTACAAATTCAGCGAAAATTGCTAAAAGGTACTGAAAATAAGAAGGAAAAAGCAAATACTCTGAGGAAACTACAAAGCTTAAAATTGCATTGGACTATAATAAATTTATTAAATTACATTGACATAAACAAATTCAGTTTGATGTTTCTAACATTACTTTTTACATGAGCAGCACAAAGTTTGAAATTCACATTAAGTCAAACAATAATAATGAAAATATACATTGAGACAATATGAAAATTGGTCAACTTTTGGGGCATCTGACACTTGAAGTCTGGTATTTACTTAGAAGTATAACATGAAATACAAACTTGTGCCAGTCCATCCAGCACTTGTAAAAAATAATATCTGCAGGACTACTCATCTGCTGGAGAAAACAATTAATATGGGTATATTCATACCTCTGCTTCAGGAAGGCTCATGATAGCTCGAGTAAATGAATGGGTCACGGCGAGCGAACCAACGCGCGGGCGAGCGAGCGAAAAGCGAATTTAATGGCACGCGACATTCGCCGCCGAGGGCGGGAGGCAAGCCTTGCTGGGGCAAGGCGGCACGGCCCGGCGCGGCGCGAGGCCTCCCGTGGATGCCCGGCCGGCATCCCGCGCGGGCGGGGCGGGCATCCACTCGCGACAGACGGAGCGGAGCGGAGCGGGGCGGAGCGGAGCGCCCGGCGCTGTACAACCGCGGCGCCGGTGGTTGTAGCGGAGGCGGGGCCGGCCGGTCGGTCGGTCGCCGGGAGACCGAGACGCGGGCGCGCTGGGGGCGAATCGGGCTCGGCATCGGGTTCGGGTCGGGGCTCCTCCGACGCGACGCCCCGCGCGGCGCAACCACGCACCATCTTGTCACTTGCAGCACTCGACGCACTTTACCTTCTCTGCAATACCAGGGACCAGCGCCTTACCATCTTCATGCCGATTCCAGAGCCTCGAGTTCGTGTTTGGTGACGAATTACAAGCCGGAAATGACACTGAATTAAAATATTCACGATACCATTACCTCAAGAATGGTACATTAACTCCAGAACAACAAAATAATGAAATACTCGAGTAGCATATTTTCACTTTCTGCTTCTTTTAAATTCCCATTTGCTTTCCTACTGTTATAAATGTTTCTTCAATTTGTTTCTTCTCGTTCCCGCACAAAGTAGTCGATTCGCTGTCACCGTTTTCACTCTATTAAATGCAATATTCCTCAATACGGTCCATTAAATTGATTTGTGTACTTTTACAGCAATTACTGTAACTGTCATCAAAATAAATTGTGTACTTTAAAAACGTACATAAAATGACATAGGAAATAAAACTTGAAATTACAAAAATGAATAGATCCTACAATACACAGCTGTCCATCCTTTAGGAAACCCAACCAACAATTTTAACATTTTTATCACACACACTCACAATTATACTACCAACTTCTTTAAACATTGAAGAAAATAAACATTTTCACAAATAAAAATGTATTCAGTATGCAAGCCTACGGGAAAATTAAAATAGAATTTACCAAGATAAAATTGTAAAATAGAATTAACGAAACGGGGTTAGAAGAGTTAATTCCTAACATTTAAGCAAAAATTAAATGGAACTTCACTGAATATCTATTATATTATAAAAGGGCTGAATGAAACACATCAAATACACTACATTTCACACAAACTTCGGAAGTCCCTCACGCAATATTCAATCCATAAATACTCGGATGCACCAGCAGAAACACAGCTTCACAGCATTCAGCGCTTGCTTTGCTCACATCTTTCCAAATTACCCATAAGGCGTGGCGAAGGTTATTGATTTACTTCCACGGAGAAATATACTGAATGAATATAATTTCTGCAAGTACCGCTAGAGGCGCTGCTATCATTTTACCCGCGTATTTTTGTGGCCATATTTCGCGAGAGTTGTGGGAGAGGTACTTTCACAATCATTAATCAGTAGCTCGTTTTTTCATGCAAAGTAGTTTCTGTGTTTGGTATTTAGAATGATATTTACTACTTTTCCGTTTGTTTAGGTTCTGACTGCACATCTCGTTCACACATTTGATTTAAAGAAATGCTGTTCTGACTTCCAGGTGACTCAGGTTTTCGTCCAGTTTCCCTGATCCTTGAGCAAATGCTGAGATTGTCCCTTGTTTTGCTTCTGGATATAAATGTAACATCAAATTAACTTCTCCCCACATCACACACAGTTTTTAACTATTTTTGACGTAAATAAATAAATAGACGCGAGTGTAGCAAGTCACTATCTTTTCATTTCGAAAATGCTACGCAGTAAATATTATCATGACCTTAGCGGTGATCCTTTGGTGCTTCATAATAAAATAAATGCAATATTTGGATTCACGAGCCATTTTATCGAATAAGAAAAATGTTGACAATGAATGTCGGCTCCCTGTGCTATTCGAGTAGAAAATTCGCGTATATTTTTATAAACTGTCGGCTTTATTAAATATTTATTTTTGAAAATAGCATTAGTTATTATCATCGAGAGAAATATTATTTACATTAAATTTAGATCATTATTTTTTGGGGGAGATTTCCAGAATGTTCGAATTTTTTTTTTACGGAGTTGAGAATCATTAAACACTAACTTAACCAAAATTTGATATAACGCTACCTCTCACTCAGTAGAAAGTTATGTAATGCTGCGTTATGTAAAAGGCGAATTTCCGGCACAAAAACCCTTATTGTTGGGTCCTAGTAATGAAAAGTGGATAAATCCAGTTGCTAAATTCAGACGAAAAAATCCTCTACAACGTGGTTTTGCCAGAATCCATATTTTATGGATCTTATACCGAAAATTCGATTGACGACGAAACATGTCTGCGAGCAACGCTAACGACTAAATTGTTCACCCGATTTTATCAAAAATTTATATTCCAGAATCGATCTGAATAATGTCGCGGTTCCGTGAATTTGAAACTGAAATTTTAATTTTGGGAAGCACTTTATGTGAAGCCCTTCGGACATTCTCAATTTTTTTAAAAAAAAGATCCGTTTTCGATTAAATTTTGTTATTGGATAGTGTAATGGACGTTTAAGAGAATGATAAGGGGATGTGTTCCTAAAACAAAAATATTGAGTTTTTTCCCTTCAATGAAATCTATTCCTTAAAGACAAATTTTGAAATAAGATTCAGAGCAATTTCCCGAAAATTTGAGTACTTATCGCGTAATTTTGAGTGAAATGCAGGCAATTTTTATATTGTTTAAACAATTTTTTTCAGAAAGGGCACCAACAATTTTGATTAAAGTTTGACCTCGGATAGCGAATAGGATGTTTATAAAAATGGTGCAGGTCTCATGTGCTTTGAAAATACTAATTTTTGAAAATTGCAAAAAATTCATAATTTTTTCGGCGACTTCATGGAATTACAATTATAGAGATAAACATTTTTTCCTTCATTATATATGTTCATCAAAACCAGATCTTAAAATAATGCCATGTTCGAGTTTTCGAAAATATAAGTTCAAGGATGAGCGAACTGAAAACCGTAGAAGTATAATAAAAATTCCAGATGTGGCGTTTGTGTCTTGTAAGTTGATAGGCATGTTTGCAATAGTGTGCCAGGTGTCTCCGTGGTATTACTCGCGCAACTGTTCTTGAACGATGACCTTGCTCCCCCCTCTCTAGCACAATAAACAGATGAAGGCAAAAGTTCGCAGCAAGCACTGATGACAACATTCCAAACACGTCTTCACTGGCGCGAAATAGAAATAATTTTCTTTTGAGACGAATAACTATCCGTTATCTTCTCAAAAATCTAAAGAAATTACCGAAACAAGTAAAGATCTATTACGGGAGGTACCTTGAACACCAGAGAAAGTTAGAACGCAAATTATTAAGAACGTTGCGAAGGCATGACTGATTCTCCAGAGATTGGCATTGCTTTAGAAAATCTAGTGGATGATTTCGTAACTAATACCCCCACTCTCCTCGCATTTCTTCAATCCATCGTTCAAGAAAAGTTGCGCGAGTAATAGCATCATTGTGATGAAACACAAACTCCGGCGCGGGAAGGGTAAAAATGGATGCCCCACTAGCAACGTGCCCCAGAGAGAGACTGGGTTCTGTGGTTCGGTTTTTACGAAGGGAAGGGGTGAAGACTATTGTGGCGTCGTCGAGTGCGAGTAACACACAGACACGGAGTTATTTTATACAGATTTATTCACAAGTTTTTTTTACACTATTTACACTCCTCGGAAACTAGCGCTGCACTCCCAGCACTGCACATCTCTGAGGCATCCCCGCCCCAGTCTGACGCAGACCCCAGCGGCTTGGCGCCGCTCCTGGTCTTTTGTCCCATGGCAACCGCCACACCTCGCTGCCGAAGCTCGCGATAACCCCTGGCGGATGAAATCTGTCTTCCGCACCGCGATTCCGTTCGACAACGAATGACAACGGCTGGTTACTCTCCAGCCGCCTCGCGAGGGGTCACGTGACAGACCTCCCATGCCGGCGGCGTCCCCTCATTCCGAAACTTGGGCCTGTTTGCAATTTTCGAGTCCAGCTGCACCGCGGCTGGACTCACCCATCATCTCCCTCTGCGCCAGTTGTCACCCGCGTTCCGAGACACGCCCACCCCGGTCCTTGAGGGGGGCCCGCCTCTGGTGGCCTTCCGCTTGCCACCAAAAGACTGCCCCCGCTCCCTCGCTGGCCTTCCAACATGTGTGGTCCATCTGGCCCATTGGCACGACGTTACACTATTAACATTCTTCGACAAATGAAGGTTCAGTACGGTGACACCTACTTATAACATCAGCAAGTGTACAAATGGTGTTGGACGTTCGCAAATGGTTTGACATCCGTGGGCGACGCTCTGCGCCCAGGCTAGTCACATCGCGTCATGATTCCAGAGACAATTGCAGCCGTTGAAGCAATTGTGATGGACAACCGCCGAGTGTCATTAGACGACACTGCAAAAGCTGTGCCCATCAGTCATGATTCAGCACATCACATTGTGCATGATGTGCTCCAATTTCATAAAGTGTCTGCGTAATGGGTGCCCCGACAACTCACCTCGGAATTGAAAGAACTTTGGCGGCGCGTTGAATATGACGGTGATACCTTTCTTGTCTCCAGGGACGAAACCTGGGCCCACTACCATCAGCCGGAAACGAAGAGAACGAGCAAGGAGTGGCGCCATTCCACGTCACCCACACCAAAGAAGTTTCGAACTCAGTCATCTGCTGGGAAGGTTATGTTGACTCTCTTTTGGGACGAAAACGGCATCATCCTGGAGCACTAAACGCTCGAGGAACCACTGTGACAAGTGCAACACACACTTCTCAAAAATCATCTCCGGCCTGCCATCAAAATGAAACGACGTGGATTGCTGTCGGCAGTGTACTGCATCACGACAATGCATACCCTATATGGCTCATGTAACAGTTGCGACAATGACACACCTGAGATACGAATGCCTCCCACACCCACCTTATTCGCCCGATCTTGCCCCAAGCGATTTCCACAAGTTTAGGCAGCTCGAAGAACCAATCGGCGCGCGCGGCGATGGTGTAACGGTTAGCGTATCGGACTGTTGTACCCATGTTGGCGATCGAAGCCGAGGATTTTTAAGGGCGAAAACGTCCTACGCACGCCTTCCTTCGGAGGGGAAGTACAGCCGGCTGACCTATATTAGTAGATTTACTTGCATGTAAAAGATCCTCAAGCCTAAATGACGTCTCTGAGCTAAATTCAAATCGCCTGTTTCTCGCCCAAGAAATACCTCCTTTCTCTGCTAGTTGGTGAAAGAAGCGTAGCGAAATTTGTGTGGTCAGACGGAAGAGCAGGCCTCCTGAGTCTCGCCATGTAAAATAAGGCATAAATTCAATTCAATTCAATGGGCGGAAAGATCCATTAAGACGCCATGCGGTGCACGAGTGGTTGCGCAGTCTCCCAAATACATTTTTTTCCCTACGGGAATTCAGACACTTCGGAAGCGCTGGCATACATGCATTGAGCATGAGAGAGTGTGGCAAAAAGTGATCCAGTTTTGTACGATATGTATATAGTAAATAATATTTAAAAAAATAATTACGGTTTTCATTTCACTCACCCTCGAATTTTTGGTGAAATTTTGCGTCAAACATAGACAATTTTATTTGCATTAAAACGGCACAATTTTTTAAAATTTAATTTGGATCTTAGATCGTGTAAAGGGCGCATAATAGCTCTTATGTTCGTTCAAAACCTTGATTTTTCGAAAACTTAAAATTTTTTGAAGTCTTCCTACAATTATGAAGATACATTTTTTCTTAATGGGATGTGTTCATCAAAAACATATCTTCAAATAAGGACATGTTGAATTTCTCGAAATATGAGTTTTTTTGTTTTTTTTTGAGTAATTAGAATTTATGTAAAACATGTTAAAAATATGAGAAAGAAAAATTACTAGCCTTCTGGGATTATCCAATTGGAATGCAACAATGGCATTCCATGCGGCGAGACAGCATGTGAATTTCTGTGGATTATGACGCTTAGTTGCAATTTGATTTAGCTGATTGAAAAGCAGTTATAATTTTTAAATTTATGTTGATATTTGCTTGAAAATATTTAATTTTTGTACCAAATATTCTACAATTTGTAATGAATTTTACAACAAATGATGACAGATTTGTTGATTTAGAGAGAATGTGGTATAAATGGTATTACATAACCAATATTAAGGAAGAGAAAGTATGTACTTCTTTTAGCACCACTAGTTTTCTTTGAGAATTGTTATAAAAAAATTACATTACTCTATGAAACAACCATTTCTCTAAAATATCTCTTTTTTCATGGAACCTACAGTGGTTACTTAATACAAGTTACATTGTAGTTTACTTTTGCTCTTTTCAATGCCATTCTATAGAGTTTCTTCTAAGCTTAGTAGTTCTTTGTATTTGGTCTCCTAGGTTGCCCTAAAAAAACAAACATGACTTTTAGTGTCTTGAAACTACAATTTCCGATGGAAGCTTAAAGTTTATGTTTTTAGCCTGGATCGATGGTCAATTTTTTCAAGGGAACTTACAGTATTAAGATGATCATTTAAGATTAGAATTAACTGCACTTGTAAATTGAGTTTTCCCCAGCAAACATTTGAGAGCAGTGTTCTTGAAAGAGTAGTGTTTCTAGATTATCTAATTTAGTTTTACATGTACCCTCATGTAGTAGAATTTGTATTTTTCTGAACATTAATAATATATGTAAATATGAGCATTACAGTATAATAATATAAGGGAGTCATTTATGTTAGTTGAATTAAAGTGAGGAGTTCCTTGAGGGCAGTCACTCAATCCCTGGAACAAATAATAAAGTCACAGACTATTCCTGGTTTTCTTGTAATTTTTTTACTTTTTGTTGATAAGATTTTTAATTTCACATTAATTAAAGAAAACATTAAAACTCGATACTAAATTGTCAGCTCTCTGATTTGACTGTGAGAAAGTTAAAATTAACAATATTTTCTCAACAAATAAAAAAGTACTAATTAACAAATAAACAAATGTTGTACTAATTAATAATTAGTTGTTCTAAGGAATATCTAGTTTTTTAAGCCTCTGAAAATTTCCCCTGATTTCTAATGATTCTTCTACAAATTCTGATTTTCCCTTGACTTTTCCAGAGCTATGAAATTTCCTGATTTTTCCTAGTTTACCAGAAAGTGACTGTACTTGTGTTGGCCCTAGGTTCACATCATCAAGACTGAAGGTTTGCAAAACGTTGATTAGTATTTTTTTCTATTTGGGTTCAGGTCATCTATAATTATTACTTTACCCTTATTACTCTGAGCAGGTCTTCTCAAGAGTTCTTCCAAGGGGGAAAAAAAGTATTGTTTGAGGAAGTTGATCTGTGGATACCAATTATTTTTGAGGATTCACTAGAGGAGGAAATGTTTATCCGCGCATATTAAATCTAGAATATGATCTATAATATCACCAGAGCAAGTGACCGTCAGCGGAAGCTATTTGCGCTGCACAGAGTGGGTAGGGTGGGGAGCGGTGAGCAGAGACACAAGCAAGAAACAAAAGGTCTCTTTAGGTGATTCTGTCCAGTGAACTTAAGAAACAAAACTGTAATACTGAAGATGTAGAGGGATGTTATGACCGTTTATCAATTTATTAACATGAATGTAATTATTATATACTGAAAATCGGCTCAGACAAAAATCAGGAAGATATCTCGTGAAGCATTACTGCCAAGCTCTTCGTTATTTATAACAATAATAATGTATTATTATTATTATTGAATCTGATTATTAAGCAAATAAGAAAGTGTTAATACAATTATTAAAAATACCAATAAAACATAAATCAGTAGTAAATTAACAATTATTGAAAATAATCAATATAAAATAATAAATATTATTTCCTTAAAATGACAAAAAACTGACCGCCAAGTAATTGCTCAAAGTTATCACCATTAGCTAAAAACCAGGCGTTTACTCTTTTCAATGTAGTGTCTGCAGTACGTTGAAGACTAACAAAGGCAGAATAAGTGCTTTGTCTTTCTTCCAACGAAAATCAGACACATTCTCTCTCTCTCTCCGAAATCTGAGGGCATGCGTCCGTGGGGCGCTAAAAGTGAAATGGATGCCAAAGATATATCATGCTGCCAAACGAGGTGGTGTTTCCAGGCATGGTTTGTGAGTAAAGCTTCCTGTATATTAGATCTTAGCAACAGATCAGTCAAAGGGAACCACTTAAATTTTTACCACAAAATCAGCTTAGAGTGTAATCAAATAAAAAACTATTCACATACTGTAGAAGCTATCAAAAATCCTCACCAGTCTTTTCTAGGGGTCACAAATATCAAAACATGAATCAGGACTGTTCATGTTGATCACACAAAATAAGTGCCTTTTTGAGTAAAGTAGTTTATTTCAATACAAATTATATAACTAATCTTATTATGATGTATTCCAAATACCATTTCCAGTAAAATGATGATCTTGTTCTAAGAAATAAAGACATAAAGCTAATTCGGTTTTCTTGCACAAAACTGGAACTTTTTGAGGATTTGTTGCACTGACAATGTTTAAGGCCTTGGTAACTGCTTCAGAAGATGACAGATCTTTCAGTATACATTCAACTTTGTTCCTGAAACAAAAATAAAATGGTTTTGGAAATTTTACATACATGGAAGCAATGTTTATGTTATGATGTAGTAGTGAATATAAGATCAGGTAACTGGTCAGTCAGGGGGTAGGAAAGTGGGTGTTTATTTGCCAACTGGTAATATTATAGACTTATTGCTCTTGCAACCAACAGGAACGGTAAGTTTATATGTTATGAATATTTATCGAACATACAAATAGGAATTGGCGAGTCTAAACGTAAGATGACTATTCTGTTGTTTTTTTTAATTATTTAAATTTTTTATTATTATTATTAATGTTAATATTATATTATTAATATTATTATTTGCAATTATTATTTATTTATTTGTGAATTACAATGGAGTAACTTTTACAAAAGGAGTGTCATTCGAAATACAATATTTCTATACAAAGGTGTGATTAATGTCTTTTGGATTTGAGAGTTACAATTCTGACAAATATGATATGCTAATAACAAGGAAATGATTTAGCACCCAAATTCAGTTTAGATTTTTTTTTCTTCTTCACAAAAACTTTAGTACTAGACTGGTGAGCTGGTTCAGTCATGCAACAAGAACTAACTGACAGATGCAGTTTTCCCTGCCCAAGGCTTGGACTATAATTTGTCAAATAACACTTTTTAGACCTGATCCCCAATAGGTTGGACACACCTTTTCAATAAACATTGAAGAAGGAATCCTGGAATGAAATGTAGTCAGGAAGGAACTACATTTTGTTAGCCTCATACACTCTTATTATTGATTGTTTGTTTTATTTTTGTTGCATCTGAATGCAACACGTCTCCAAGCCCCCCGGGGGCGTTGAGCACTTTGCGCTTGAGAGTAATCCTCCATTACCTATGAAAGTCATTACATGTCACATCATGTTGGAATCAGTTGTCAAGAGGAACGCCAGGTAGCATCTGTGTGTGTACGTGCCTCCTACTACACGCTCCCGCATCACTACCCAGCAGTCAGAATTAGGAAGGAATTAGGATAGGGGTAGGGTTTAAGACACTTCACTGTGAAGCAGTGGAACTCATTTTGTTGCAACAAATTTCACATGAAATTGTCCGGGAATTGAACCTGGACCTCTTTGGTGAAAGGCAAAATGACTTCACTCTGAGCCATCAAGTCAGCTTTTAAAATGGTTTCTTATCTCTGTAAAAGTATGTTAGATATTTTCTGCAGGATAATATCAACAAGCAAACTAAAATCTATTACCTATATCTGTAGCTTAAATATTGTACTTTGAAAATAAGAATTTTTTGCAAATAAGAGTTTGCAAAAATATTAAAGATACAGATTTCTTCCCTTAATGAAAGAGATTTTGAAATAAGGGCATGTATAAATTTTTGCAAATTTGAGTTTTACAAAAAATGATGACTATGATGTGTAAATTCAGAGAGAATTTATGATATAAGGAGTATTATGTAAGCATTTTTAAGTGCAAGAAAGTGTGTTCTGTTGTAACACTAGTTTACCATCCTTTAATGTATTCAAGGAGAAAATGTAAAGAAAAAAATTAGGGCAGTTTTTGAGAAAATAATTGATTAAAAATTACAAACCTATTTTTTCATGAAAAATTTGCAAAAGCTACTTATATTTTTTAATCACTTTACATGTCCTTTCTAGATATGTCTTTGAAGAAAGATTGGACAAAAAATGGATTCTAACTACACAGTGTGCTAGAGGAAGTAATTTACAATATTGGAACAAGATTTATCCACTTTTTTAATTCCACGGCTAGGCAATAAGAATTTGTTGAAAAATTGCCATTTTCCTGCTGCACAATTAACAATACTCTCCCTGTTTTTAAGAAAATGTGATTTAAGCATACCTGAACCCGTGCAATTTTGAGCTCTTTTCACACAAAACTAGCTTTTGTGCAATCATTTGAAATAATTTGATGCATTTGTACTTACAAATGCAAATGTTTGTAAACATTAATGCTGGGAGACATTAAAAAAATTACATTTTGTAATTCTTTAACAATCCAAAGAATACTCCAATATTTCACTCCAAATTCTGTGAAAACTACTAAAATATTCAAAACAATGTGCACAAGTTTAATTAAAGAAATAATTCTAGAGAAGAAATTAAATTGGAAAAGAAAAAAAAAAAAAAAAGTGATATATTCAGTAATGTAGGAGCGGGTCCATTTTAAATTGAAAAATAATATTGATTTTATGCTGAACCATTTTCAGGATGCCAGATAGATTTCAGGGCCTCCTCTCCAAACATAGTATATGAATTCCCCAAATTGTCAGCTTCAAACAGATAAAATAAGAAACCACTCACATTTCTGTAAGTAAATGTCTTATTAAGTAAGGCTATGAGGATCCCTTTGAAATTTTCAGGGGGACATGCCCCCCCCCCCCCTTCCATGCGCACATCTTTGGTATTGAGTCATGTAAAATCTCATAATAAAATAAAAGTAATGTCAAGGATTATTCAAGGAGATATACAGGAAATAATTTTGTTATTAATATTATTATTACTACTGTTTTGTTTTTTAAGTTTACCTTGGATAAAGAACCAAATGAAGGTTGCTCAGAATGTCTTTGGTTTCAAAACCATCTTTCAACAAGAACTCGAGCGTGTTTTGCACAGAATCACAGGAAACGCTGCACCAAAACGGATGGCGTCCCAGATAGTCTCGTATAGCAAGCTCCTCTGAACTCAGCTGCTGCGCCAAGTAGGTGACGACATCAAACCCGCGTGTGCGGTCCACCCCTTCACGGGTGAATCTGAAACAAGCCAATCACTTTCTTTAAGCTCACAATGCGCTAAGGATAACCAGTGGCCAATTTTCAGTCATAAGCCCTACATTACTAGTATTTTGAGTTGTTAGCAACACAATTTTTCTCTCTCATAAATCATCTTTTTTCCACCAACTTGGTGGCATATTTGGACGAATATTTGATCACAATTACCCTTTAACGTTGCGAATCTTTGTGCATTTTTTCGTGTTCTTTAGGTGCATGATTTGTGCAGTAATAGACGCTTTGAAAACTGATTAGCGAAAAGAGAGGTGAATAGCAAGTGATTATAGGTGTCATTTATTTACATGCTGCCGAGCAAACTTTGCATAAAATACACTGGTAATTAACTTTGCTTAAAATACTTAAAAATGCTGAATAAACTTCACTTAGGAGCTTCAAATATTTACATAGTGCTACTAAAAACTTGGACTGAAAAGGATCTTCGTATTAAACGCGTTGGTAATTATATATTGGGCAGTGAAAGCTGTGGCGGTTTCACAGGAGTGGGAATAGATGAATATCCTCCTCACACATTTTCTTTTGAATGTAATTTCCAAATATATTGTTTTCTTTGATGTGGAAAGGAAAGAGTGCCTTGTTGTAACTTGTAGTTATTGGATATTGCCTTTGATCAAGTTTTGTGCCATTGGTGTACAATAAATAATATTTGAAAAATAATTACAGCTTTCATTTCACTCACCCTCGTATTTTTGGCGTTTTGTGTCAAACATAACAAATTCATTTTATTTAAACCATTTTTCTTAAAAATGGCACAAAAGTTTTGATTGAAAATTGATCTTAGATCATGTAAAGGGCGCTTAAGAGAATGGTGCAAGTCTCATGTTTGTACGAAGCCTTGATTTTTTTGACAATTAAAAATTTTTGGAAGTCATCCTACAATTGTGAAAATACATTTTTTCTTAATGAGATGTGTTTATCAAAAACAGATCTTCGCGTTGAATTTTTTGAAAATATATTTCTTTGTATCATTTGGCTGCATAGTCGTCCGCTCCTAATTTCCTGAGCTTCGTGAACATAATATGAAAGGTAATTCCAGGCAGTTGGATGTTATGTAAGTTACAATTTGTTTATTATTTCATATTCCTTTGTTCATTTCCAACAATTCCCAACATTTCAAACAATTTCATGTTCAATTCATCTTTGTAGTCCGTTTATATATTAATCTTTTATACATTATTTAAAACATATTTAAAAAATGTGAAAGAAAACTTGCTAGTCTTCAGGGATCCGATCCGATTGGAATGCAACGATGGCATTCCACGCCACGAGACAGCAGCTGAATTTCTTGCTTGTCAAGAGAATGTGTATTTTTCTTGCGCTCCCTTCACACGATTCGTGTGATAACAGTCAGTTATGCTGTACTGTTTCGAGATTATTCCTAGAATTGTTAGAAGCTGCACGTAATCGAATTTGTTGTTGCACTTAATGTAGTTTCTTTCCTCCTCTTTCGAATTCTGAGAGCGCGAGCTGCCACGCGAAATCCACAAACTAGTCCTCTTAACAATAATGCATTACATTTTATTTCACTCCGACCCATAAAAAAAAGTCCAAATCGTATTCTTAATTTTTAGTTTGTGAGTGAATGTTCCCGATTTTTTTTCGCTCCAGAGTTCTCTTACCACTCCCCCCCCCCAAGGGGGTACGTGTAGAGGGGCATGCCTCACTTACCACCGAGGGAAATGAACTAGGCCTAGGCGTGGGAGGACAGCAGGCCGGCAAAGTCGAACATTCGACCCAAAATGCCAAATATATAGTAATACTTTAATATGATTATTTTGAAATATAATTAATATTACTCGATGTACATTTTTTGAATATTAAAACTAGTGGTGCTACAACACACACTTCTCGCATTATTTTGAACTGCTCCGTTATATTACACCACTACATAAACATCCAAACATTTTTTCAAATAGCAAAAACTAATTCCTGCACCGAGACTCGAACTCAGGTCCTCCGAGTAAACTCGCCGTCAGCCATAGCACTACGCTTTAGAAACGCCATGAGGTAACTCGGGCCGACGCGTAAAGATGTAATTGCCTCAACCCAATATTTCCAACATGCAATTTTTTCAATTTTCGAAATTACTGAGTTTACCGAAAATGGGACTAGCACCATATTTTTTACCGTCCATTGTTACATACGAGGAGAAAATTTAATGAAAATGTTGGGACAGTTATAGAGAAAATGCATACATTTCAGACACAAATTGCGCGAAATCTATTTTGTTTTTCAAAAAAACTGTGTATAATCTTTCTTAAAAAGATTAGTTTTAGAACAGATTTTATTTAAGGCAAAAATTGCTATCTTCAATTTGAAGTTTTGAAATGTTTATTTTACAATTTTCAAAAACCGAGAGTTCGCCGAAAATGGGTCTAGTACAATATTTTTTACTCTCCTTTGATATCCACGAGACAATTTAAAGAAAAAAGTGGCGATTTTTGAAAAAAAAAATTAATAATTTGGCGGCCAATGGGCCAACAATGTTTATTTCCAAAATTTCTGTTGCCCGAATCAGTGAAGGCGTTATTTTTCAAGTCTTTCGACAAAGATACTCGCTCTCCCACGCCACGAACGTAAATCTGATCTATTTTCGACGCCTTAACAGAAGGGTTCCATCTTTATAAATGAAAGAATTTATTTTGCTACAAAATATTATGTTTCCACCCAATAATTGCTGCCAGTACCGATTTTGATAAAAGATAAACATTTCTGGAGCAGTTTTTTTATATTTCGAATATCTTTTGCTTCGCAAGGTTTAATGAATATTTGAGACCATTTGCTGCGCCACAACTAGCACATAATTTGATAACGCTGGTTCCAGAAGTGAATGATTATTATGGTAATATTCGAACTTCGCTTTTACACAAATTTTGAGAGGCTCTTACAGATTAAAAAGCAATTTTTTTGCAACACATTCCAGGATGTAAACATCATTTATTGTGAGAGCGTAAAGAAAGTGCAGAACTAAAGATTATTTTTGGTCGGTTGTTTATATTATTGCAGAAGAGTAGAAAAATCTCTAGTTCTCTTATTGCGGTCACAGGTTCGTAGGGCTATTCCACTCGCGGACTACTCGCGGACCGTGGAGAGTCGATAACCCTCCCACCTAGGGCCTCCCGGCCAGAGGCGCTCGCTGCCCTGAGCCACCGCTTCCGGCGGCACCCACCTTTCGAAGTAGGCCTGATTGGAGGTGAGGAGGTGCAGCGAGGCGCACTGGCGCTGCAGCTCCTGCAGCTGGTCGAGGCGCGCGCTCACTTTGCGCTGGTAGTGGACGATCTGCAGCACGCGCGGGTTCTCGGCGAACGGCCGCAGCTTGGGCACCGTGTGCAGCAACTGCAGGCGCCGCTGCATGCTGGCGCTGCCCAGCGTGAACACCTCGTAGCAGCGCTGCACCGCCGAGTCCGGCACGCCGTAGTCCTGCACACAGGGCGCGGGCCTTCATTCGCTTCATTCGCGAATTAATGACTCCGGGCGCGTCAACGGCTAGTCGTTAGTCCTGTAAGTGTAGTGCGTGCGTTTTCCTCGAGAGGTGATCGATCCTGCTGGATGAAGTCGTAGGCTTCCGCGGCCAGAGTCATGTGCGAGATCTAGGCTGCCCGTATGACGCCGCGTCGAAGGCTGTGTTGCCGACGTTTCGACTATCTTGTCGTGGTCTTCCTCAGGGCATGGCATACCAGCCCTGAGAAAGACCACGACAGGATGGTCGAAACATCGGCAACACAGCATTCGACGCGGCGTCACCCGGACAGCCCAGATCACGCACCCATATCCTGCTGGATGGCGAGTTCCGGCGCCAACCTACCGTCGGCAAACCGGGGTTTTCCTCAACCAGGTATCTTCCACCACCGGAACATCACCCCAGCTTGGACAAGCTCTAAGTTCTCGACCGGTCTCCCGGCATGTGTGGTAGTGTAGTACGAATAAGTGTGTGTGTGTGTGTGTAAGGGGTAAATATAAGACAAGGAAGAGGAAGGAAAGATCGCGCGCGGCCCGGGACCCGTTTGTTAAGGTACCGCTCCAGCATTCACCCGGTGTTGATCGGAGAAACCACGGAAAACAACCGATCAGAGCAGCTATGCATGTATTTTATAAGATTTCTTTTCTTTTTTGTTAACACGCATTGTCACTTTGGCGATACGATTGTCATCAACATGTGTTTATGTGTGTTTTTAATAAGCTGGCATTTGTATCATACCTCGATCCAGGACCACCCAATCTTCTTGAGATCTCTAGAGAGAGCATTATTTCGGGCGGGGCGAACACCCTACAACGCACCCAACCCAATCCATTCCCTCTGTACTTGGTCTGTTCCATTTTATGGTCATGTATTACTTCGGGTCATTACATAAAATCGGGAACCCGACGTCGTTGAACGTCCTGTACATTACACAAAATTGGCGCACCAACGTGATTAAAAAAAAATAGGAATGATGTCAGTTCATTACAATAAGTACGTAGTCATACCTCACACAAAAAGGCATAAATTCTCTTGACAAATATTTATATTGAGATGTATAAACTGATCGACTGATCGTGTCTGAGACAAGGACAAACAGAGGTTATTCCCTGCGTTGAACATCGACAGATGTAAAAGTGAAACCCCGCGAGCGACGTGTCATGCGTCGGGGAATCACAGAAAGGGAAAAGAACGACTAAGACATTTTCCAGGATTCACCTCGCACATGACTAAATTGGGCGAATTCAGCTACACGAGACGTGAACCAATCAGACTGATACGAAACACAAGACAAGAGGAGGGAGAAGAGTGCAGGTGTACAGCGGAGAGACCGAAGCCCTAAGATCCTCGGAAGGGTTGGGCGTGCAAAGGCGTCTCCACACATTCGGCATTCGCCGAGCAGCAAACTACTGTTCCCTTTTATGTGTCCTGTAGACCGACACGCGGAGGGTAGGGCGGATACCGAATGTTAGGCGCTCGGCGAATCGCAAGCAACCCGTCCACACTACTCGGGATTCGCCGAATGCCGCATGTATAGAGCCGCCTTAAGAGACGCTCAGAGATCCTCGGAGGAGTTGCACGTTTAAGAGACGCTCTAATATTTCCGGAGTCAGACAAGCTCTGGAGAGAGGGAGGCGCAACGGACGAGTGACAAATTCACGAGTGCTCGGGGAAGTCGTTCACAAGAAGAGAGAAGCTGCAGGAGACAGGCATTCTCGGGAATTCGCAACATCGCGTGATAACGCCAGGCGAGCAGCACAATGGGATTGCCGAAAGTGACAGTACACAAGGACGGGGACGGCGACAGAACGGGTGACTGGAAGCGGAGCGCGCCGAGCGACAAATGACGACCAAGGAACTTCACAGCTGTGAGGAATCGCTGTCCTCCCATCACACGCCTGCGCTTGCACATTCAACTGACAACAGCTACTCGGGGTCCGTGTAAACCATCTCCGTCCGCGCACTTCGCGAACGCGCTGCTGCTGTGAATAGATATGCTCTTACTACGCCTCAGGGTAGCATTTCAGAGTCAGGTGGGCCGAGCTACGTTTTCCAAGCCTAGCAGCCCTTAAAATTCGGGCTCGTCACGAATACACGTGCGGGATTGCCACTGCTCCCCGGCAAGGGAAAGATTTGAAAAACCAAACATTTACGTTCCCTATAGTTATAGAAAACTTATTTGCAACGGTAAACGAATTGTAGGTTTAATTTTTCTGCATTGCTAACAAAATAATAACTCTCCTTACATATAGTCCTACCACTACAAACAAAAGGAGAGTTCAACAAAACGTGGGTATAGTGAAGCTACATTTACGTGCAGAAGCAAAACAAGAGGCCCTTTCAGCATTTACTCAATGTATCAGGGAAATTAGACAAAAACGTGATCGAGATAGGGGTCATTGACCTGAAAGCTGAAGTACAATAAAAACAACGAAAATCAAACCGAAAGGAGAAACTAGTGAGTGCGTATATTTTCTAGTATCATTTGGAACGGATACGCAAAGTTACACTATTTGAACATTAACCAGTGTTTCCAACAACCAAAAACATTTTCTTAGCGCCCTAATTCGAACTCATGTCCTTAAAGAGTCAACATGCTAAGCACTATATTCCTACACCATCAGCCTCACAGCTTAACTCAACCCGTCGCTTAAAAATTGGTAAAAGAAATTGCCAAGCAAATTTGTTTGCAATTTTCGAAAATTCAGGGAATTCGTAGAAAATGGATCCTCCGCCATTTTTATGCGCCATATGCTCCATCAGTGTAACAAATTTAAAGAAAAAAGTGGAGCAGTTTTTGAAATTTTCCTTTGTAAATTGCAATAACTCCAAGCAAAAGTTTTCCAAAAACACTGCCAATGACCATCTTTACATATCTAATTTTCTTAAAATTCTCCAACGAAAAAATTCTATATCACCAATATTTTACTTTTACGATGTTCATTTTTGCATTTTTGGCAAATTTAATAAAATTGAGACTGTGCCATATTAGCATATTTTGCTATATCCAAGGAAAACAGTGGAAACGTTTTTGAAATAGTAATTGTTTACGAAATTGCATATATTTCGTGCAAAATGTCGCGGGAACTACTAATACATTTGGAAAATTGTACATTACTTTATTTAAAGATATCTAAAGATCTTTTAAAGAAAGATTGATTGAGCAATGAAATTCCCTAATTTTCCCAAGTTTTCCATAAAATGCGCTAGTAAGTCACCAAAAGCCGAAACCTCAACGCCAACTCGGAAGTGCACAGTGAAGGGTCATCTGGTACATGGTGAGATTATGTAAGAATAGGTGGTATTGTGTAAATAGATATTTATAATGTGACACAGCCAAACTCAAAAATAACATCCTTATCAACATTGCGTACTTTACCTAGCCACCTTCTTGAAGTCTAATTCTGAAATTAGACAGAGTTTTACTTTAGTCATAATATGAAAACATTAAAATACATCAAAATAAAAATTAAAAAAAAAATTGAAACAGGTGAACCAACTCGTATAGGAATGATCAAGTTACTTTATCAATTTAAATAGCACTCTAATAGACTTAACATGTTAAAAATTATGCACCAATGGGGGAGGGGGAGACAACAACATCGACTAAGCCCAGCGCAGTTTTTTTCTCTTTGCTGAAGAAATATTTTGCCATCTTTGTGCGAAATCGTTGCCATGCATAATCCCTTCGAGGATACTCCTGTTATCTCTTGACATGCATAAACATGTTTTAATCTCGTTTTAGTTTCGGCAATGTGTACAACACTTGTGCAATGAAAGCAACTTTAGGGATATTGAATTAGATCTTCAAGAAACAGGGGTTGCCATCTGCGATCCTATGGAAAGGACTGTAAATACAGACAATGATAAAGTATTTGTAGCAAAAACAGAAAATATTTTTGTACAATATAAACTTGCAGAAAATGATAGAAATATATAACTAAATACATGTAGTATTAGTCCTCAAATGTATAAAATTCTCTTCAATTAAGTTGTGTTCTGTAATTTAAACTCCCCATCCCCACTGACCCAATTACCGGATATCGGAAGGGCATTGGTATGTAGCTGTTAACAAAACTTGTTTCACCTACCTTCAAGTGCTGAGCGGTGGCAAGAATATTCCTTGTCGATGACATGATAATTTTGGGATGGGTATGGAAAACAGTTTTAATATCTTTTCCACACAGCTGAGGCACCCTTTTAAGAGTATCCAAGATATTCGGAGGGTAGCTATGGATCAAATAGCCATGTCTTCGAATCTGCAACAAAATATTGTTTCGCATACAGTTCAATAAAATGTATTTGAAAGTATGCACAATTGAATTTTCAAGTTCAGTTTTAAATTCTAGCAGCATTATTCATTGATATTTCTGAAAGAAACCCCTTGAAGGGCGACTAAACTGAAGGTCATACACACAGACTTATGCAGTCTAACGAGTCACTTCCAATAGGATATCGGCTTACGTAAATTCATCGATTTTTCAAGACGAACCGAAGTACGATTCTTCAAGAGCAAAACTCAAGTTTTGGGCGAATCCAAGGCTTTAGTCGAGAACAAGCATGGTGTAAAAATCAAGGAGATCCTGACCGATAACGAACGCGAGTACGTAAATGCAGAATTCGACGATTTTCTGAAGTCGGAGGTCTTTAAACTCCGACTCTCGGCTCAATGCACACCGCAGCAGAACGGGACGGCGAAGAGGATGAACACAACCTTAATCGAAAAGGCTCGTTGCTTGTTAATCCAATCAGGTCAATCCATGCTGTTCTGAACTGTAACAGTTTCTACGGCGTGTCACATCAGAAATCGATGCCCACCCACGAAGATCAAGAAAACACCGTACCAGCTTTAGAACGAGAAAGTCCCAAACATCAGTTACTTTCGAGATTTTGGATGCAGGGCTTTTATTCTGAAGGAACCAAAGGGAAGCTGGAAGACGGAGCTAAGGAACGAATCTTCGTAGGGCACGCCGAGCAATCGAAAGCGTATCGATTTTGGCTGCCGGTCCAGAAAAGTAGAAATTACCAGGGTCGTGACGTTAATCGAAAACGAGCCTCTGCTCAAAGCGCGCAAGAATTATTCGAACGAGCCGTCCAGGGCCACCACGCAAGGATTGCCCCTATCGCTCGAGCGTGGAGCCGGTCATCGCAGACGTTGCAGAGTTCTCAACATTGGAGGCAATGACGGGGCCCGCCTCTCCCGAGCGGAATGATTGATTACTAGTGATTCCGGGAGCATCTACTACTAATGTCAGTCCGAACCGTAAGGGTAGTGCATGTTTTTTCTCGGCGTTGGCGGTGATCCACCGATGTGTAGTGAGATCCGGCGCCAGCCTACCGTCCGGGAGCGGGGTTTTCCTCAACCAGGTATCTCCCACCAGCGAGGCACCTCTCCAGCCTGGTCAAGTTCTAAGCTCCCGACCAGTCGCACGGCATTTGTACTGTTGCAGTGTACGTAGAGGGTGTTGTAAATTTGTGCAGGGGTGAGAATAGGACAAGTAATGGGAAAGAAAGAACGCGCGCGGCCCGTGGCCCGTTTGGTATGGTACGGCATTCGCCTGGTGTTGATTGAAGAAATCACAGAAAACTACTGATCACAGCAGCCGGCCGCTTCTCATCCACATAGCGACAAAACTCGCACAGGCTATTTGGCTAGTGTCGAAAATCCTGCCACCGACGGGACGCGAATCCACGACCTCTCGGTCAGAGACAATGCAGTGTCATCAGTTGATGCCATCAGTCACCTCAGTTCCCGAGTGGAAAAACTTTATGACTTCTGAACTGCAATCAATTGTCCGGGAAGGAGACACGGGAGGCCGTGCCCAGGCCGAAAAATCAACGTTTCAAAACAATCAAAATTTCGTCCTGCGAAATAAGAAAGAAGCCGACGGTACAATCTATATTTAGATTTATTCAGGAAAAAAGAAAAAACTATATGTGATGTAGGGGGGGGGGGATATCTGCGCACGTTTTCTTGAGTTCTAGAATCCCTTGCCGTCATTTTAACTAAAAATAGTTGAAAGATGAGTAAAAGTTTATCATAAATAAATACAAATAAATTTTTAAAATCTCAAGATTACCAATATTTGAAAAGTCAGCATGAGAATCGAGAAGCACCAGACCCGCGTGGTGGCGCGCGGATTCAGCAAGTCCCGACAATTTTCCCGAGACGATCGTTCTTGTAGCAAGACTATCCTCGATACGGACCGTGTTGGCGGCGGCAGTTGTCGAGAACATGCCCGTTCGACACCTCGAAATATCAACTGCTTTCTCGAACGGAGTCACCAAAGAGAGCGTTTTCATGGGAGTTCCAGAACATTTGATTGAGATTCTCGACATCTCAGAAAACGAGAGAAAGGTCACAGCGTTTAGAGAGAGCTCAAGAAATGCGAAAGATATAACTCAAAGGCGACCCGATTATTTTATTGAGAAAATGCTTTATGGCTTACCGTAGGAAGGGGGAGCTTGGAACGCGCGACTGGATGAGGAAATACGAGAGTTTGGACCAGGGGTGGACAAGTTGCAGTGTAGTTTATGTCGACTGATATTGTCAACGACCGAGGCCGAAATTGGCAGGGTCAAGGATCATCTTTGTCGAAGATTTGAGGCCAAGGACTTGGGCGACTTTCAGTACTGCTTGGGACTCGAATTTGACCGAAAACATCGCATCGCATCGCATCGATCTACATCGCAGTCAATCAGGAGTATATCGACGAGATCCTCGAGACGTATCGGTTGACTGCAAAGCATTATCTGCAACATTAAAACCTGGCATCAAGCTGGTGAAAGACGAGCGAAAAGACGTCTGACAGAGACATATCCCCTATCGTGAACTTGGAAGCCTGAAGTATTTGTCCGTTAAAACTGGGCATGTTATAACTCAAACCATAAGCCATCCCAAGCAGTTTAACAGCTGTTTTGGGGATGTTCTTTGGAAGGTGGCTAAAATGGTCCTCGGTTATCTCAAGGGGACGAGAGACCTGTGATTGGAGTACTCTAAGAAAATTCGTACTTCGTAAAACCAATATTCTATTTAACGACGTCTGTAATATGCTAGAATGAGAAGTCAATAATTTGAGTAACACCATTGGTATTTTTATGGACAGCTAAATTTATTATTAATCTTCAAAGAATCTATGTATTTAATGAGCAACTTACTTACTGTTCATATTCTTTACAAATTTTTTATTGTCTACTATTTACTTAGTTATATTTTTTATTTTGTTGAAGAATATTTAGTTATCTAATATTATTTTTATTGATATCTCTTTGTAATACCTTGTTTTAACTTTCTACTATATCTAATTTTGTATTATGCATTATTTGTCATTTTTTATTTTTGTTGTGATACTTACAGTTTAAACTTAACATGTACCTAATTTTTGATGGGTTTTTCCTGCTTATAAAAAATGGAACCGAATTGAAAAAATGTTTACTTCGGAATGAGGATATGAATATTTCTCTGCTCTCAAGTGTTTTAATGCAAACCATAGATTTGCTGCAAAATGTCACTAATAGAAGCAAAAGCTCAAGGTGTGTGAAAATTCATGATTTCAAAACCTCAAATGCAAATTTTTAGGATATTTACAAAATTTTCATTTCTAAGAAAAGTGATGAAGTACTTTCCACAAACAATTGCCATGCAAAACTTCAATTTTCTTTTTGTTTGATTTCTTCTTAAAAATAAAGCAATTTCTGATATTAACAATTATCTTAATTAAGAAAAACAAACATAAAGCATTGGGCGTAAGTAACAGAAATAGGTAACTACTATCCTCCCATATTTTTCATTACACTAAGAAGCATTATTCAATTTGTTCTCCATTTCTTGACAAACTCTGCAGATGGTAACAATCTATGAAATTGACATTTCTGGTGAAAAGAACTTTTTGCAATAAACAGCATTCTGTACCAACCTTCTCCAAAGTGAACCCCAAATCATGTTCCAAAATGTCCAATGCCCAACAGATATATTTCAAACTTTTATGTTTGATCCTTGGGTAGGTTTTCCAAATTTGCTCAATTTCGCTTCTAGTGGTGTTCAACCTCCAAGCAAGAAAACTCTTGAGAACTGTACTGTATACATTTATCAAAATATTTGTGTTCTCATCAGGATTCTTCAAATCCAGATTTTCTAACGGTGGATTACGCAAATGCTGCATATAGGAATCAATGACGCTCAACTCTGGATCGATATACTTGTGTATCTTCAACAAATGAATATTTTTCTTTACAACTTTAACATAACTGGAAAAAAAAAAAATCAATTTTTAGAACTCTCCTAAGGAATATTTATGTAAACAGTAATTTTCTAAATACTTACTTTACAATAAGAGAGGCTGTCAACTTTTTAAAACCACTTTCTTGAAGAACTAAGCCATGATGTTCTATTGTCTGAGGATGAACCCTCCATATTCCTGAGTTTAAAGCGCAATCTTCTGGAGAGATTTTAAAACTCTGAAAATTTTAAATCACATAAAAAAATTAAGTATTTTAAAACATTAATTTTTTTTATTGTTATGAAATATTTTAGTGGGCAGATGTAGTCCTACTGTCATTATTTCCAGAACGTTCAAACACAAGTTTAACTTCAGTAAGTATTAAAAACATTTATATTTAATCGCCTTTTATAATGGAACCTTAGGAGGCCAAATATACTACATTGAAGAGACCATAAGTAATTTGAGAATACTTCAGAATAAAAAAGAAAATTTAGTGAAATTTTAAAACATTGCAACTCTATTACTATTTGCTTGAGAAAAATAATTAATGAAGTAAATTTGTTGATAATTTTATGAACCTTAAAATTGTACTTAACTTTTTTTGCACAAGAATAACTATTAAAAGTAATTTCACCAAAATCAAAAAAATTGCAGACAATTTTTTTTTTAATTTCTTTAAAAAGTTTTTTGGCTACCAAAACTTTACCCAAAGTTTTTTGAGGTGGAAAACTTACGGTTTTCTTTCCAATAACAATATATTTTATTTTGTTCAAACAATATGATAAAATAAAATAATCTACCTCACCTTTTGAAAGATGGACCCCCTTATGGTTTCCCATTGACTGCACTACCAGTAATAGAATCATATATACTCATATAATTCTTAACAGATTTTAACAGGGTGTTCAAAAAACAAAGAGGAACTGAAAACGTGTGACAGTGCTCTCAACATTTGTGGAATGGAAAATAATGGGTTACAAACCTCAAGAATTTCTAGCTGTTTCCTGTCTAACTCTTCATCAAGATTTGGTTCATAATGAACAGCTCTTCTTGAAGAAATATCTGAAGTAAAAGAACAACATTCTATGATAATTAAATTCTACAAACAAACAAAAAAATATAAAGAAATAAGAAAATGAGCATTGTAAAAAACTATTGAGATTTCAAAGACCATAAATCTGAAGGTTAAACCATGGTTACCTGATGAAGACCTCTATTAAAATTAAGTAAAATTTGTCTCAAAGTCAGCAACTAGAAGTCCTATTCGGTAGAACCACAAAAATAAGTAGAGAGAAATGGTAAAAATGTAGATAATAGATATTTTGTTGTTAATTAAAATTCTAAAAATCAATTCTTACAAAATTATGTACATCTTTTTGTTGGAAACTGGATTCCATGAGGTGCCAACGCTATTCGACAGGCTAAAGAAAAACGTTTCTACCAGTTTCCCTCCGACCCGGGAGGGTGGGTGAAATATTTTAGTCATGGGTTACAGCAGTTGAATGAGAATTACTACCTGTTGCATTTGATTATTTTATCGAAATCATAAAATTGTATGTGCATCATTGTATTTGTCAGCCAGGCGTTATAACTGAAATACTATTTGTTTATTGTTATTGTATGTACTGGGTCTAGTTCGTAACTTCTATTATAAGAGTATGGTGCCGTTTCATGTATCAATTTCGTGCGTTTCAGATAACTTAAAGAGCTTCATTAGTCATTGTTTCATGAAAGTAATGGGTGTGACACATTCGTAATCTTCAATACTGAGGCAGAGTTGTCGATTTTCGCAAGTAGAACTGAAAATTGAAGTTTGAATTAGTAGTTTGGAAAAATCCTGCTATTTTAAATAGAAATGCCGAATCTCCTCTATTATAGAATCTGCCGAATCTTAATAGCCTTCTTTTCACCAAGTTTCTGTAGGCATTATTACATCGTACTTACGTGCATTTAGTTCCAAATCTAATTTATTTTTAATGCTTCTACTATTTCATTTAACATTTTTTTCTTTCTCGCTACTGCTTATGCAGTATAGAGGAAGTATTGTAATGTTATGGGGGAAAATGGGGAATTTTCTACAGAAAAACTTATTGCCGGGTCTCGATAACGAAAACTTGGACGAAATTGTGGTGAACGCTAGACCCTAAACCGTTCAGCCAATTTCATCCATTGATATTTCCCAATCGATCTTACTGGTGTTGCGGCCCCCTGAATTCAAAATCGAAATTTTAATTTTGGGTATATTTCACATGAAGCCCCTGAGATATTTTCATAATTATAAAACGGCAAAATGTTATTGTCGGATATAGTACAAACTGCCTAGGAGAATGGTGCAGTTTTCATATTTGTTGACTCTAATGTTTGTTTGTCCCTAATTTTTCGAAAATTGCAAAAGTTCAATTTTTTCGGCGTCTGCCTACAACTAAAATATTGAAGATGGAGATGTTTTTCCGAAATGAAATCTTTAAAGAAATATCTTGAAATAAGGTCATGTTCGATTTTTCGAAAATATAAGTAATTGTCGTGTAATTTTGCGCAAAATATAGGCAATTTAAAAAAAATGTCCTAAAAAACAGTTTCAATTTTAAAAAAAAATTCCCCTTAATATGTAATATATAAAAATATGGTGCTGGTTCCATTTTTGGCTAGTTCTCCGGTTTTTCGAAAATTGAAAAAAAAGTTAACATTTCAAAACTACAAAATTAAAGATAAATATTTTTTCAAAGTCGGTTGTAAAAAAAGCTTTTTAAAAAAGGGTGAGTGCAATGTTTTGAAAGAAAAGGTTTTGCGGAATTTACGCTTGAACTTGTGCAATTAAAAAATTCTAAAAATCATTCCAAATATTTTCTTTAGTTCTTTTTCCCCACGTATAGAAGAAGGGACGCTTAAAAGACGCAAGTCTAATTTTCGTTCTTGTAGATAGCTATTCCTTTCCCAAATTTGCTTCCACGTTTGTGGTACCTTTCTCATCACTCCCACTTGCTGAAAATTTGCTGATTACATTATTTAAATGATCTTTCGACAATAATGAACTCAATGGTGGACTTTCTGTCAGTGGATTGGCAAACACTCAAAGTTTACTCTCTTGTACCGAAGCTGAATTTCACGAGGTATGACGGTGTAGGTTCTGGCATCGAAGCAAGCGGATCCTGGATTAAGCCACGTGAGTGTTTTCCACTACTCACTTCTATTTCTACCCGAGTTGAAGCAGACTCTTGATCTAACTCCTGGAATGACCCTCGAAATGGTCTACAGCTTGACCACCGACTGGACGTGAAATGTGACTGTCTTCCGGATTCTCTGTTTACCAAATTCTCTTTTCTTCAACTCGGTGCTTACAAACTCGGCCCTGTGTCTGCGGCTGCATTCCTAGTGATCTTTTATATTGTTTACTAATAATGTTATACTGTCTATCCGGGAGACGCCGCGTCCGGGGCACAAGTGTCAACGTTTCGGTCGTGTCAATTCTTCCTTAGAGGGGAAGTCCTCCTTCACAATGGTCGCGTTGTGTCGCAGATGTCGCGGCCCGTTGAATTTGAACCCGATATTTTTAATTTTAATTCTGGGTGGTTCTTTACATGAAGCCTCTGGGACTTTTTCAACATTTTAAAAAAAAGTGGCTGAATCGATTTTGATTAAACTTCGTTGCGGAAAATCTGAAGGACGTTTAAGAAAATGGAGCAGGACTCATGTTGGTTAAAAACACTGATTTTTCAAATGCGAAGAAAAAACTTTGAAGATACATTTTTCTAAATGAAATGTGTTCACCAAAAACAGATCGTCAATTATGGTCATGTTCATTTTTTTGAAAATGAGTATTTTTTGTGTAATTTGGCGACAAACATAAGTGGCCCGCTCGCAATTTACAGTTGGATGCTACGTAAGTTAAAATTTGTATATCATTTTTATTATTCATTACATGAATATAATTTCATTTTGAATTGCGTCCTTCAATTGTGTTAAATGTGAAAACGAATAGATGAGCGGTCATTGTTGGTTGTAACCCACTGTCATCACGCCGCACTGATAACAGAAGGCAATAATAACGGCTGCCTTTCGTTCGCGTTAATTTAAACCAATCTATATACAACATATAAAAATATTATGTTGGTTTGTGGATGCTTAAAAAACTGAAAAAGTTATGCATCGATAGAGCTCAAATTTTGACACTATATACAACCCACTTCGAAGATAAAAAAATATCTGTGAAATAATAATACAAACTTTTATGCTGTAGAACAAAACTAAATATGCACGCCAAATGCAACCCGCAACACACTCGGTATGATTTTTAAAAAAGTCTAGTGTATCGTTAAATAACTCCTAAACAAAGATTCCTAGGCCATTAAAAACTAAAATTGTTGCACAATCTATTACGTTTTTGCTGGGGGGAGGGAGACGAAGAGAGAAGAGAAACAAAGAGAGAGAAAGGGCAGAACGTCTGCCTGGTTCCGCTAGTACTCTTATATATTTGTAAAATATTACAATACCATAGTGTTTAATAATTATTAGTATATAGTTGTTTATCTATTTGCATCTGTTTGTCAACGATATCATTATCACATTATTTATTAACTTTTTAATTATTTTGCTTTCTTGCATTCTGCTTATCGCACCAAATGTTCAACGATTTCAAATTTTACAAAAAATAATCCAGAGAGAAATTGCGGTAAAAATATTTTTACATATGATAACCATTACTAATATGGAGAAAGTACGTGCTGTTTTAGCACCACTAGTTAATCTTAAAATGGTATCCATGAATACGCAATCGTATATTTCGTCCTTCGCACTAGTGCACTTCTAATATAAATAAATATTTAAATCAATTTTGACAAATAAAAGTAGGTAACAATCGAAAAAACTAGGACTTGGGGGGGGGGGCTAGACTCCCTCGTGGATCCAAGGCCATACACAACATAATGAGATTTCTCATGATCAAAAATGTCAGTAAGCATCAATGAAAAAATAGGCAAAATGAAAATCTACTAAAACAACTCCAAAAGTACAATTAAGGGATTCCTATTGTCAAAAGCCATAAAATTGTAACAATAATACAAAGGTATTTTGCCAAACTTCTGGACTCTAGTTGTAATATATCTTATATTAGGGTTGACAAGATTCACAAAGAAAACAATTTTGTGTCCTGATCATACAAAGACAAAAAATATGAAAGTTAATTGCTTAAGAATCTGAGCTACTATTCAGAGACAAACTTAATTCCAAATCTATTATTTTAAAAGAAATTGTATGGAGAAATACCAATAATAAACAGGCAAAATAGTACAACAGTTTGTTTATACCATTACATTAAAACTATAAAAAGTATGGAAACAAATGTTAAAATTATTTACATTAGTATCATCAATTCACATAATAAAAACAATTATTGGTTTCCACAATATCAATATAAAAGGTTGGAACCATATAAATATTATTTGGAATCCTATTCGGGAAGTTAATATTTAAATTGCAGTTATCAATTAAATTCAAGATCATGTCAACTTTGTTCATTATAGAATATAAAAATATAAGTTCATAACAGCAAACTTATCAATTTCATTTATGGTTGTCAACTTCAATTATGATTTCCCGTACAAGTGAAAATGAATCAAAACTGTAAAACAAATGTATTTAATGACTAACTTTGATTTAATTTGAGAAAACATTCAAATAATATTACGTTATAACCATTTTGTCTAGTTGTAAAGGCAAATCTTATTTGTCAAAGCATGGACTCTGAAACCTTCCTGTTCAAAATAATGTTGGGAAGCACCACTGAGTAGTAAAGACATACATCAAACCTACCCAAAGTGGTCAGCAGGAAAAAATAGCAACTACTGTTATTGTAAATCTCAAGGGGAACCTAACTAACGAGAAATGAGTCACGCATACAGCAGTCATGAAGTTTCAAAGTATCTCTTTGAATATTCAGTGTGTTTTCTTGCAACAAATGTGTAACATTCTGTTGTTAGCCTCCTATAATTATTCTCTTGTTCCAGGAACCTCACATTTCCCCAATGATTACCTGAAGATCCACCAAGACAATAATTATGTGGGTTGAAATTGATATCAAGATGTAATTTTCAAAGAAAGTACAACAGTGATTATGTGTTTTAACTAAGTACTAATTAATTTTTAAAATTGTAACGTTTGTGTACATTTTTTATATAATTTCAATATAATGATATAAACACACTTTTGTACAATTCTGTCTTTTTATTATTGACTTTTTTCTACACATTTTTTGAAACCAAAGACAAAAACCCTGTCTTCTGTAAAAGAATATTACCTATTATGACCATAATATCAATTTTCATCCACACTAAGAAAAAATAAGGAAATATGTAACTAGATATGATCTCATTTGCCCTAATAATTCCTTTAGCCTATTAGCTTATCCTTATGCAATTGTTTCAAATGAAAATACACCCTATCAACATGCAGAATGAACTTATTCGGTTTAACCCAATAGAGGGATTTAAAATTATGAAATTACCTAAATTAATTCCATAAACGGCTTTTCTCCCTGCATGCTGCAACGTTGTGAGTTTGAACTTGGGCACATAATTGGACACAATCTCACGTAACATACCTACACAAGGATTATGCAGTCTTTCCACAAACATTACACCTTAGAACATTCACAAAGGAAGAACATATGAACTTCTCAAACACATAACCACACTTCGAACATAAAGTTACTAAGTTTCTAGCATTTCTTATAAGATGACAAACATTCCACTTAAAATTAGCAACTGGGGGCAGGGGGAACCACACGTGTGAAATCTCGCGACCTGCTCAGCTGCTCACCCGGTACACCAGAACACACTGCAGTGCACAACAGAGCGAGCATCAGTGCTGCATCCCACGAGTCAGATGCCAGGATATTAAATGATACCTCCATACCCCGGGAGCGCCACCGTCTACTAGGCGGGTATCTCCCCTCCCACTTCTGTATGTGCCAATCACGTGGATGTGTGACCTCTTCACCGGGAGTTCAAAATTAAATTAGATTTCGCGGCCTCTGTATATTGTATAGGTGTATTGTATTAACCAATTCTGAACGCGTAATCAAATGCTTTATATTGTGTTATTCGTCTATTCATTTACTTAACGGGTCGCTCTACACCTTCATTACTGAAAAACACAAAGGCATTGAATTTGTGGAAATAGGTAACCAGAGAGTTCTTAATCATTAATGACAAGAACTAAGAATATAGTTTAGTCAACAGGAATAGTGATTAGAAATAATCATTTGTAAAAGAAATTTATTTAACTTTTAAAAACAAATAAGTTGAATATATGTTAACAGCAAAGAAACAAACCACTATTAGAACAATGTAGTTGAGCAGTAATTTTTAATTAGAGAAATAGCATTGGTGCATCGTCAGAAAAAATAGCTTTTGCTATAATGATATCATTGCTTTATAGATCATCATTTAATCCATTACGATTGAACAGGCAATCTATTTAATAAAAGCAAAATTACAGCACTGTCTCATACACACAAAATAGTGAGATCGCAATTGCAAAAATTAATTTCCAAAAGCTATCTGTTAATGTAGAATTATTTTACATTATAACAAGAAACTTAGTCTGAAAACAGTCGGGGCTGGTGCCCCAACAAACTAATACATTGGACGTGATATCTGTGTCTTGTGTGCGGTTGGGAAGTTTCGCAGTGATCTCGGCCTGTGGCCAACCGCATGTCAAGTGAACGATATTTTCCAACATTCGATTGGCCTAAATTATTGTTTGTATGTGTGAAATATTTTTAAGGCTAGTTTTGAGTGTGTAGAGAATAAGAAGTGTAGAACGAGTACTAGCCATGTCACTAATAATTGAAAATAAATGCATTAATCTCAGGCAAGAGCAAACTAGTGGTGCTGAAAAAGCACATACTTTTCGCATTTTTTCTACATGTTCTAGTATATTACACTATTACATAAACTCGAACCCAGATCCTCAGATATAACTTGCCGACACCCATGCTACGATACCACAGAACCGTCGTATGGCAAGAGTGAGAAGTAATACTATTCGGAATCGTTAAGAATATTATGGTAAAAGAAAATATAAGTTAGTCCCATGGGTAGTGACTGTAATATAATTATTAAGTAGTACTTAGTTAAATCGGTTCACGCAGATGGATAGACAGATAACAATTGATTTGACGTGACTTACGTTTTAGGAATCGAATAAGAGAATTAAAAAGTGTTCAAAAGTTGCAAATTCGAAAATTACTTACAGACACTTCCGATTTATTTATCTGTATAGATTGTATTTGTGAGTAGATGTGCTTTAAATGATTTTCAATACAGTTTCTTGAATTCTCAATAGTTTTCTGCAACAACACATTCATGAGAGATAAGTAACAAATTAAAATTCCTTCTCTGCATGTCTCGAACACGCGAAATTTTGTGTCAAGGTGCTGAATCCGTACACGTCAGTTAACCACCTCGGCCATCCGGATCAGTCGTGGCCTCTACACTTCTATAATACTCAGTCTTAGAGACACGATTTTTGAAGTTCTACCATTAGTCGCAATATTGATAAAATGTGAAAAAATGTCCTTTGTGAACGATGGCTGCTGTGAAGAGAATAGGGCATAACCCCAAAGCTAGTCGAGACTAAAGAGATTAGAAAACTAACTAGTTCGATCTGACTTCCCCGTGATTTTGAAAAACTTTATTCAAAACGTGGGGGTACTTAACATGAAGCCCCCCGGACATTTCAAAATTTTCTCAAAAGCGTCTCTAAATTGTTTCTTCTTTGAATTCCTTATGATAATAGAGTAACATACACTTATAAACGTGAGATAGGTCCGATTTTCACGATTAACTAAATTTTCGAAAATTTCAAAAGTATGAATTTTTGTAGGTGTCTGCCTACAATTACAAAATTACAACGCTATGTAATAAAAAATAAATCAAAATGCAAATAGATAATGCTAAAATACTCGTAAATTGTTCGCGAATTATTCACTTTTATTATTTCATAACCACTCGTCCTAAATTACACTGTACTATACAATTATTTGATAATTCTCCAGCAGTTGAGACAATGAAACGACTATTTGACACAGGGGCCGGGAAATGCTCGCGTTCAGAATTTACGGTTGGAATGGAACGTTCTTGTGTCCACGCCAGCAAAAGTGCAGCAATGGGAAAATCTTCATTAGAAATCCCCATGTGCCAAGGTTTATTAATTAGAATATCATAAGACCATCACATTGCAAATGGAGTTTAGGTTAGGTTAGCTCTCTGTAGAGCTTGGAGCTATGAATACATGGAGGTGCAGTTGCCAACCTCTTCCGTATTGAGAAAGTAATGCCAGTCCGCCATTTTGATGGGTCTAAAACACATCACGTCAATACGACATTAGCTGTTTGTGACGTAGAAACATGTAGGCCGACGTAGGAGCATGATGGCCATGTACGACAGCCATCTTGCTTTAGTTTAAGCTATGATGGTGTTAGACCTGCATTCTGAGCCGCAGTTATCGACAACTTCATATTTAAAATATTTCTGTACATAAAATCCAGAATATGGGTTTTAAATTGTGTGATCCCAAATGTCGGGGAAATTATGACTCGAGACAAGCAATCGAGCATCGGTACTTTCGTTTTCGGATGCGAAAGAAACGAACATGCGCGAAAAGAAGAGTTTCTACCAAATCAGCCTTCCAAAGTAAGAAAACGTTTGTAATTGATTTCAGAGCAATAATGTGGACATAATTTAAAATAAATAACTAGAAGTTGAACATTTTAGGACACAAATCTCAATTAAGAATTGTAAACAGCCAAAGTCTTCCTTATCAATCGAAATAATTTCGTTCAGTTTCTCTGGACTTACTGAACAAATGTTAACAATGTCCCTTGTTTTGCATCTAGAAAATAAACGTAGCTTTCTTTCCCAAAGTCACGTTCAGTTTGAACGGTTGTTTTTTGTATTAGATAAATGTATCTTCAAATTAAATCTCAACGTGATCCAAGGTCGTGAGGTTATGTTTTATTATTTTACTGTAATGGTTTCAACATGCGATGAATGCAAGGAAGATAGGAACGATTAAGTTTTATTACGTGACGTTATTAAATAGTGTTATGATTAATAATTGTATTGCAAATTTTTAACGAAAATGTTGTAACAATCGTCATTATTTCTAACGTACATTGAATTTTCGTAGGGTTGTGAAGCCCATTTTTGTCCAGAGGATATCAAACGAACTCTTAAGTGCTATGATGAAAACTCATAGAAATTCCGAGCATCACTAGGAAGACCGAAATTAAAAGATGGTGCAGTGTCATCAATATTTTCGAATTGTTCTAAATATTTATCTTCAGCAGTAACATCAAGAAATAGTGTAGAAGAAATACGAGATATATTTAAGTAACATTAGCAACATGTAACTAATGACGGACTTCAATTGAAAACGAATGCAAGAAAAAAAATTGTCTTGAAAATTTTCAGAATATGGTCATTGATCAAGTCAGTATGTTTCTTGGCGACAATTCATTGTAATTGAAGAGTAAACTGGCACATGATTAGTGTTGCAAGAAAAATACATTTTTTACTGTACATTATTGTTTGTTTTAAATATATAAGAAGCTGGTGAAACTATTTTGTAGGTTCCTTATGTTTGTGTTGTAGTTTATTCTTTAATATGCAGAGCGTCACACGCAGTTTGTCTAATCTACAAGCTCTCAATTCACCAATATTGCGGAGGTGGCTTCAAGTTTGTGACGTCATGTCATTTCCCTGTTTCCCTAAGCTTCTCGTTTAAGCAGTAGACAGTAGTTCTAAAGTCGGTGAGGTCACAGAAACGCTGCGAGCGCAATAAATAAATGACAAAACACCTTTACGTTTCATTTATTTCAGGAAACGGGTAATCAATTTTTGGAAAGCACATCCAGGAACATTTTTGAAGCCCAAATCCGCTTTTAGTGTTTTTTCTTATTTTCGCTGAGGCAAGTATATATAGAATATCAACAAAACCCCGCGAAAGTTAAGCTACTGCTGAGAGGAAGATCCACGATGACTCAGCAATCAGATTTAAGACAAAATTTGTCGAATTTTGTTAATTATTAAGCAAAAAATTCAAGAAGCAACCTCACCCTGCAACACGCATTATTCTGCAGTTCAAGCTGCATCGAAAACAGCTCGAAAACCTTAAAGAGTTCTAGGACATGAGAATCTCGTTTTCATAGCTATAAATCCATATAAGATACTCTCTTTTCCCATAGATTATATATTAGTGCCCGAAGCACCATAGCGACGCTAAAATAACAGTCGGAAAGCGCGAAGTCGCGGTCCTGTATTACTCGCAACGCTTTTCACAGTGCGTTTGGAAATCTCGCGTCGATGTTGCGCATTCGCAGTTGCCGCTGGCGTCTGGGAGCGCCTGCGCCGCTGCTCAGAGCATGTGTGGGATTCTCCGTCGTGTGGTTGGTATGTGGTCGCAAACTTAGACGCGGGTTGTTTACACAGCCTTTCGTATAAACATTCATTCTATGAATATTTTGGAATATTAATTGGCATGAGTCGAACAAAAGAACCAGGTCGACAAGAAAAAAGCTAGTGAGTATATGCGGCGTACTAACAAGTTTACTACTCAACAACTCTTTGTTAACACAAAATGAGTTAACATAAACTCAAACTGTTAGTCAACACCGACTCATATTTCTTAACAAAAAGTACGGGAGGGGCAGACGGCGGTCGCCGATAACGAAAAGCAATGGGCCTTTGCCAGTGTTTCAGGGAACATGAGTGGGGGACCATCTACACCCGTTAATTTTCTTTCGGTTTGTGATAAAAGGTTTACTTTTGTAGATATCGTAACAACGGCGAGTTGTTTAGTGTATTCGAAAGAACGTCAGTATGTTTAGAGTTCAACCACAGAGGCATT